AAGGACATGAATTCATTCTTTTTTATGGCTGCATAGTATTCCATGGTGTATATGTGCCACATTTTCTTTATTCAGTCTATCTTTGATGGGCATTTGGGTTTGGTCCAAGTCTTTGCTATTGTAAACAGTGCCTCAGTGAACATGTGTGTGCATGTGTCTTTATAATAAATAGATTTTTAATCCTTTGGGTATATACTCAGTAATGGGATTGCTGGGTCAAATGGTATTTCTATTTCTAGATCCTTGAGGAATGCCACACTGTCTTCCACAATGGTTGAACTAATTTACACTCCTACCAACAGTATAAAAGTGTTATCTCTACACATCCTCTCCAACATCTGTTGTCTCCAGATTTTTTAATGATTGCCATTCTAACTGGTATGATATTGCATCTCAATGTGGTTTTGATTTGCATTTCTCTAGTGACCAGTGATGATGAGCATTATTTTCATATGTTTATTGGCTACATAAATATCTTTTGAAAAGTGTCTGTTCATACCTTTTGCCCCCTTTTATTGAGGTTGTTTATTTTTTTTCTTGTATATTGGTTTTAGTTCTTTGTAGATTCTTGATATTAGCCATTTGTCAGATGGGTAGCTTGCAAAAATTTTTTCCCATTCTTTTGACTGCCCATTCACTCTAATGATTATTGCTTTTGCTGTACAGAAGCTCTTAAGTTTAATTAGATCCTGTTTGTCTATTTTGGCTTTTGTCACCATTGCTTTTGGTGTTTTAGTCATGAAGTCCTTGCCTATGCCTATGACCTGGTATTACCTAGGTTTTCTTCTAGGGTTTTTATGGTGTTAGGTCTTTTATGTAAATCTTTAATCCATTTGGAGTTAATTTTTGTATAAGATGTAAGGAAGGGGTCCAGTTTCAGCTTTCTGCACATGGCTAGCCAGTTTTCCCAACACCATTTATTAAACAGGAATCCTTTCCCCATTGCTTGTTTTTATGAGGTTTGTCAAAGATCAGATGGTTGCAGATGTGTGACATTACTTCTGAGGCCCCTATTGTGTTCCTTTGGTCTATATCTCTGTTTTGGTACCAGTACCATGCTGTTTTGATTACTGTAGCCTTGTAGTATAGTTTGAAGTCAGGTAGCATGATGACTCCAGCTTTGTTGTTTTTGCTTAGGATTGTATTGCATATGGGGGCTCTTTTTTGGTTCTGTATGAAGTTTAAGGTAGTTTTTTTCCAGTTCTGTGAAGAAGGTCAATGGTAGTTTGATGGGGATAGTATTGAATCTATAAATCACTTTTGACGGTATGGCCATTTTCACAATATTGATTATTCCTAACCATGAGCATGGAATGTTTTTCCATCTGTGTCCTCTCTTTTTTTCCCTTGATCAGTTGTTTGTAGTTCTCCTTGAAGAGGTCCTCACATCCTTTGTTAGTTGTATTCCTAGGTATTTTATTCTCTTTTTAGCAGTTGTGATTGGGAGTTCACTTTTGATTTGGCTCTCTGTTTGTCTGTTATTGGTGTATAGGAATGCTTGTGATTTTTGCACACTGATTTTGTATCCTGAGACTTTGCTGAAGTTGCTTATCATATTAAGAAGATTGTGGGCTGAGACAACAGGGTCTTCTAAATATAGAATCATGTCATCTGAAAATAGAGTCGATCCAATTTCCTCTTTTCCTAATTGAATACCCTTTATTTCTTTTTCTTGCCTGATTGCTCTGGCTAGAACTTCCAATACTATGTTGAATAGGAATGGTGAGAGAGGGCACCCTTGGGAGATAGAGACACATAAAAAAACCCTTCAAAAATTAATAAATCCAGGAGCGGTTTTTTGAAAAGATGAACAAAATAGACCACTAGCCAGACTAATAAAAAAGAAAATAGAAGAATCAAATAAATGCAATAAAAAATGATAAACGGGATATCACCACTGATTCCACAGAAATACAAACTACTATCAGAGATTAGTACAAACAACTCTATGCACATAAACAAGTAAATTTAGAAGAAATGGATAAATTCCTGGACTAAACCCTTCCAGGACTAAATCAGGAAGAAGTTGAATCCCTGAATAGACCAATAACAAGGTCTGAAGTGGAGGCAGCAATTAATGGCCTACCAACCCAAAAAAGTCCAGGTTTATATGGGTTCACAGCCAAATTCTACCAGACATACAAAGAGAAGCTGGTACCATTTCTTCTGAAATTATTCCAAACAATATAAAAAGAAGGAATCCTCCCTAACTTATTTGATGAGACCAACATTATCCTGATACCAAAATCTGGTAGAGATACAACTAAAAAAGAAAAATTCAGGCCAGTATCCATGATGAACATTTATGCAAAAATCTTCAATAAAATACTGGCAAACTGAATGCAACAGCACATCAAAAAGCTTATCCATCACGATCAAGTAGGCTTCATCCCAGGGATGTAACCCTGGTTCAACATACACAAATCTATAAATGTAATCCATCACATAAACAGAACCAGAGACAAAAACCACATGATTATCTCAACAGAGGCAGAGGAGGCCTTTGACAAAGTTCAACAGCCCTTTATGCTGAAAACTCTTAATAAACTAGGTATTGATGGAACATATCTCAAAATAATGAAGCTATTTATGACAAACCCACAGCCAATATCATACTGAATAGTTTTAAATTTTTAAATCAGATTATTTAATTTTTAAACAGTGTTCAGCTACCCAACATAATTTTCATTCTTTATGCAAATACAATTTTAAGTTTCCACAACACAACAAAATGTCCTGAATATTTCATTTTTGTTTTTTGATTTGCTTGTTTTGTCTTTAATGACAATCTATTTAAAGTAGGAGTCTTTAAAAGTGGCTGAATAGAATGATAACATGCCTTCACTGGTAATTTAATACTTGGATATAATGAGTTTATCTGAGAGATTTCATTAAAAACAGCAAGGTGCCTGAACACCAAAGCCGAGCTGTTTTCAGTCACAGAATTATAGTAATTATACAAATCCCAAGATTTTCATCAGATGGAAAATGGTTCCAGGACTAAACATGTACTTTAAACTTAGCACTAATAACTGTGTGTTGTTCTAAATTACAGTAGAGAGAATCCTTGGGCTTAGGGAAATATTAGAATGTTAAGTGTTGAAGGTTTAAGAACAGTTGAGAAATAAACTATTTTGATAGCATAGCAATATCACTAAGAGGCACATCTCCTGGGTAATAGAAGAGGAACTGTTGTGTACAGACATATTGTATAGCAAGTGAATATTTAAGCAAAGTCAAGGAGGTTGTTAACATGCTGTCTTTGAGAAGAACATCTCTCTCGTCTCTCCCAAAGGTCCTGAACTTGCAAATTGGCTGGGCTGGGCTCTTCTTCTCATCACTAAATGGCATAGACTACTATAATAAATCAGATGATTATTGGCCCAGAATCTAGCTTTCTGAGTCAGGTGAAGACTATATAAAGAATAATTTAGTTATGAGGATTACTTAAAATGTCAAGTTTTTATAAAATGGCAAAGGTATGGTACCCTCAGGGAGCTTGTTTCTGAGTGAAGTGTTAAAGATGCATCTAGAAAGGTTCATTAGAATGTCCCTAGAAAAGAAATTCGATTTGGTCTATTTTCCATTAATAATTCTTTTACTTGTTTTTTTCTGTCTAAGATGGGTAGGGGAAGACAAGGAGAAGGGATTAAGGAAGGAGAACATCTAAAGAGGAGTGTGCTGTGGAAATGTCCACGATGGGTGGAGGAGGAGGAAGGGTGCCCCCCCTGGGGGAGATGGAGAAGGCAGTCAGATTGGCTTCTCATTTGTCAAGATTGAGAGTTGAGGAGCGGAGCATGTGAAAGGCCCTAGGACCTGTCTGAGTATTTCTGATGAACAATCAGGACACAGAATTCCCCACAGATACTGGAGCAGAGATATATCTGAGATTTGGGTCCCAACAGGACAATATTTCTGGTTCTGGTCTCTGTTCTTCTCCCAACCTCATCCCTTCTATAATAAACTTACCGTCTCCTGTCTGCAAGCAGAATTGAAGAGTTGGCTGGAACCACTGTCCCCTGATCCCTTCTGGATGTGTTACTGTCCACATTTATTATTTGTGTATTTGAACCTCTGGGTGCATCCCCATTTCGTCATCAGAAAGCTTAGGAACCATGTTGATGCACTTTCAGGCCTGCTCTGAGTGAGTGCAGACAGGTGAACCCCTGTGGGCTCACCTGGCTGCATCCACCCCAGCTTGGCAGGCTTAGTTCATTCATGATGCCCTAAAGGAGCACCTGAAGCTGCATGACTTAGAAAAGAGGTTTATCTGGCTCACAGTTCTGCAGGCTGTATAGAAAGCATGGCATCAGCGTCTGCTTTTGATGAGACCCTTGGGTTGCTTCCACTCATTGTGGAAGGTGAAGGGCAATGGGCATTACACGGTGAGAGCAGGAGGGAGTGGGAAGAGAGAGAGAAAGCACCAGGCTCTTTTCAACAGAGTTGTCATGGGAGCCAAGAGTGCCAAATCACTCTAGCAAGAAAGGCACCAAGCCATGCCTGAGGGATCCACCCCCATTATCCAGACACCTCCCATCAGGCCCCACCTCCCAACACTGAGGGTCACATTAGACTTTGAGGGACCAAAGAAACACAGCACAGGCTCTGGCCAAGTAGTCCCCTGCCAGGAACTTCAATGTCATGAACATTTTTCTTTTCTCCCTTTAACTCTCAGAACATGTGCCACTGTGCAGAAATTATAAGATATAGAAAAATAGAAGCAGAAAAATTACTCTTAATCCTTCTATCTGGAGAGAATTATTGTTCACATTTTGCCATTTTCCTTCCAATCTTTTTTCCGTGTCCTTTGTTGCTTATTTGCATTATACTGTAGATGTTCATATGTGTTTGGATTTTTACACATTTAACAATAGTTAATCATCTATCAAAAGCATTTTCCATAACTCTCACAGGAGATCTATTGGATATTGATTGCTGTAGGGAGCATGAGGGAGTTGTTGTCTTGATTAAGTGCTGCTATCATTTGTGTTTCTTTTCAGGTCCCCTCTTGCTGTTGGCTGCACATCATGAAGGCTACGATGGGAATGAAGGTGAAAACCTGGAGATTTCACTTAAGTCATTGCTTCTGCCTGCAAGATCATCCTTTAAAAGTAGAGAAGCTGCTCTGTGTGGTGGTTAACTCCAAGTGGCAGAACTCATTCTAGAAGGAAATGGATGCAAGCAGCTCCAGGGGCCCCAAACGCATGCTTCCTGTGGTCTAGCCCAGGAAGCCCTTCCGTGGGGGCCCCAACTTTCAGGGATGCCACAGGCTGATTCCTGAATGATGATGGTTCGTCGGGGGCTGCTTGCGTGGATTTCCCGGGTGGTGGTTTTGCTGGTGCTCCTCTGCTGCGCCATCTCCGTCCTGTACATGCTGGCCTGCACCCCAAAAGGTGACGAGGAGCAGCTGGCACTGCCCAGGGCCAACAGCCCCACGGGGAAGGAGGGGTACCAGGCCGTCCTGCAGGAGTGGGAGGAGCAGCACCGCAACTACGTGAGCAGCCTGAAGCGGCAGATCGCACAGCTCAAGGAGGAGCTGCAGGAGAGGAGTGAGCAGCTCAGGAATGGGCAGTACCAAGCCAGCGATGCTGCTGGCCTGGGACTAGACAGGAGCCCTCCAGAGAAAACCCAGGCTGACCTCCTGGCCTTCCTGCACTCGCAGGTGGACAAGGCAGAGGTGCATACCGGTGTGAAGCTGGCCACGGAGTATGCAGCAGTGCCTTTTGATAGCTTCACTCTGCAGAAAGTGTACCAGCTGGAGACTGGCCTTACCCGCCACCCTGAGGAGAAGCCCGTGAGGAAGGACAAGCGGGATGAGTTGGTGGAAGCCATTGAATCGGCCTTGGAGACCCTGAACAATCCTGCAGAGAACAGCCCCAATCACCGTCCTTACACAGCCTCCGATTTCATAGAAGGTTAGCATTTTGTGAATTGTGGGGAAGGAGAAGAAAAGGAATTTGGGGGTCCTGGTACCCACGCAGGTTCCAGCTGCAAGAGGCTGGCAGCTGGCTCTGGGATGGCTGGTAGAAAGTTTTATGTGTGTGACCCCAAAGATATGGCATGGTTTTTTATTTTTCAGAAACATCTGTTTCCAATTACTTTCTCATGGAAACCACAGTCATTGAGTGGACAGTTTCATTGTTCCTTGGCAGAAAAAGGTGGAACTTCTTGCTTTCATTTTAAAAATATATAAACATAAAACTTTGAAACCCAAATAAAATATGACAGGGCATTTTTATTTAGCCCTTCTCACAGGCACTTCTAGTAACTGGGCTTGGTTAGCAAGCCCATGAAAAGAATAAGAGCAGGTACATATTATTGCACTTACGTGTACCAGCCACATTTACGAATTATTTTTTCTTGTAATGATCCCATTAGTAAATGAGGAAATGCAGGTATAGTTTAATGAAGTAAATACCTAAATTTATTCAGCTAATAAGTGACAGAGCCAGGATTTGAACTCAGGCACTCTTAACTCCAGAGTCTGTGTCCTTAATCTGTACATTATTTAGCATAGACTGTCAGAGCACATGGAAACTAGTGAGATGAATGGCTCATCTCTCTTTTTTTCATGGACATAGAAAAGCCTAGGATTGGGGCCAAGTGCAGTGGCTCACGCCTATAATCCCAGCACTTTGGGAGGCCAACGCAGGCGGACCACAAGGTCATGAGTTCGAGACCCACCTGGCCAACATAGTGAAACCCTGTCTCTACTAAAAATACAAAAATTAGCCTGGCATGGTGGTGCGTGCCTGTAGTCCCAGCTACTCAGGAGGCTGGGCAGGAGAATAGCTTGAACTTGGGAAGCAGAGGTTGTGAGTCGAGACCACACCACTGCATTCCAACCTGGGCAGCAGAGCGAGACTCCGTCTCAAAAAAAGAGAGAGAGAACATCTTAGGATTAATTTGTGTTTGTGTCTAATTTTAGAAGACAGCAGCCTTGTTCAGTTTCTTGGAAGGCTTGTTAATATCTTCTTAACTTACCTATTGTTACTGATTCAAAAATCAACTAATAATTTGGGAAAAGAAGTACCTTCAAAGGCATCTAGTTCTTTCCCCTTTTCTGAACAGAGTGTAATTCATCTTGCCCGGAAATACAGCTGTGTCAACCTGACCCCACTCCCTACTTTGGTTATACAACCATTGTCTCATGGGCCTACAGGCAAAACTGACTCATTTTCATCAAATCAAAAACCTTCCTGCTCCTATTTATGCCTGTGTTCTTTGGGCAGTTTCTTCTTTTATGCTTTTTTAGACTTTATACATGAACCATAAATGTTTGCAGTTTTAGTGTATCATCAGTTTTTATATGCCTAGAGTCAGGTAAAGAAACCTTTTAGAAGATCAAGTCTTTGGTGTGAATTTAAAAAAAAAAAAAAAAAAAAAAAACTCTTTTATATGAGACAGTAAAAATGTCTAGAATGTTCAGCAGCTAACCAGTATAAGCACATGGTAAGCACACAAGGGTTCAATATAAAATGATGATGATGCAACATCACATTTTATAGTACTTTACAGTTTATAAAGCATTTCCACCTGTATTATTTTACTAGCTGACCCCCAGGGAAAATCATTAAATATCACTAAAAAAAATCCTGGTTGTCACTTTCCCTGGGGTGTGCCACATAGAGCTGCCCACATACAGAGCAATTTCAAAAGAACTTGATTACAAATCAGTGTCTGCAGTTTGGAATGTGTGACCTTGTGATGTGCAATCTGCCTTCATATTTGAAATCTGTCTGCTTTTCTCTGCCCAGTAGTTTAATACATAAGGGCTATCTTTCTCAATCAGCAGTGACACCAGCCTCTTGCCCCTGAGTATATTTGCTGTGAGGCTTGACTGGCTTTCTTTTAGAGATGCTCTCATCAGAGCTGCTCAGTGCTGCTTTCATGAGCAGCACATTGCTTTTTTCAGGCAGGTCAATCCACATATATCTTCCATATTTGTTGAAAGTGTAGTCAACTGTTTTTGTCTGATGAGTAAATAAAAGCAAACACTTTAAATATATTGATAGAGATTTCACTATTATAAGCAGTTTATTTCATTTCAAAAAATGTTATCAATAACACAAGCATGTGGAGGCAATCTTTTTTTTTTTTTTGAGACGGAGTTTCATTCTTGTTATCCAGGCTGGAGCGCAATGGTGCGATCTCGCCTCACCGCAACCTCCGCCTCCTGGATTCAGGCAATTCTCCTGCCTCAGCCTCCTGAGTAGCTGGGACTACAGACACGCGCCACCATGCCCAGCTAATTTTTTGTAGTTTTAGTAGAGATGGGGTTTCACTGTGTTGACCAGGATGGTCTCGATCTCTTGACCTCGTGATCCACCCGCCTCGGCCTCCCAAAGTGCTGGGATTACAGGCTTGAGCCACCGCGCCCGGCCTATGCAATCTTTTATAGTCACAGGAAGCAGAGCCTTATGAAAGATTCTACAGGTCAGAGGAAGCTGCAGGAGTGATAGAATTAAGTGAAATATAAGGAGTAGCTTTGAGAATAGTAATGTTTCAGAACAAAGTGGAATTCCTGGCACTACAAGAATTCTGTCATCAACTGGGTGACCGTTTGGCCAGGAGGTTATAAATTATGATCCTAGCTTCAGAGAGGTGATCAGACTGAATTACATTTCGGGACCTTTTCAATCCTGGTTCATGATTCTTTGATCTACACCTCGTTAAGGAGAAAGAAGGGAATGGAAAGGTCTGCTCTGAGATTTGTCTTCTGTAATGAACTACAGCAAGTGATAGGACCTTATAAGGGTGAGATATATCTTTAAAATAACTTCTTTGGGTTCTTAACCTTAGAAAGAGTGATTTGGGGTTTTGGGTTTCAGTAATCCAAAGTTGAAGGAATTTATCAAAAGTCCATGGGAAAGCCTGGTTAGAAACAGGACTTCTCCACATTTCAAACGAAGGCAACAAATTTTCTGAACCCTGAGTAGTATGAAAAGAGGGGGATTCTTCGTGTTTAAAAAATAATAAAGTCCAAGGCATGCTTGCAGATGATCATAGTTACATAAAACTTAAAGCTAATGGTGAGAGAAGTGGCATGATGATGCAAGCTTGGGAAGCTGTGATTTTTACCAAGACCCTTAGCTCCTTGAGACACAGTTTCCTAATCTGTCAGCAAGAGATGTAATGTAGATGTCCTCTGTGAACCTACCCAGCCCAGCCTTCCGGTCTCTCTTGTCTGCAAAATACAAAGCTTTTCTCCATAGCTTTGCCAAGCAACCATCTCTCAGGAATAGTTGAGGCAGACCATCCAGTCTGCCTCATGACCCAGGCAGGACAAACACACCCCCCAACCGGCCGTTTGGGATCCTCCCCTATAAAGGAAGGAATTGGATACAGTACTTACAAGGTCTAGTCTGGCTGTGATCACTTCCTACAGTTCTGTGAAGCTTGCAGGGGGAAAATATCACACAGATGTCTAATTTATCTGTATTGATTTCATTATTATCTCTAAAACACAGAGGAAGTGATACTTGTCCCTTTTTTCCCTTTCCCCAGATGCTCCACTGGCACTGATTTTTGTGTTGGATTCTTATGTAATAGCACTGATTTTTTTACAACCATCTGGGAAAAGAAGTAAGAGCAGAGATGGGATCAAATCCTGTGCCTCACTGTTTATCTCAAGTAAACAGAAAATCCCTTCTTTATGTTTGTGGTTTAGTTACTCCTTCAGGATGGGATATACAAACTAATCCTGAGATCTAAGTGGCACATATTTTGGCTTTGATTTCCTGTTTTTAAATAGATCCCTTGGACATTAGTTTGATATCATTCCATCAAACAATTTAGCTTTCCAAACTCTTATTTCACAACCCAAACATCTGATAATGTGACTCCTATGTGAGACTTTTGTGTCTCCTATGTCCAAGGGTTGTTCTGTCACCAGCCTGTGTAGCTCACCCTCCTACAGTCTCTGCAGGGTTAGTGGTGTGCTAAGAGTGGGTCAGATGCCAGAAGGCTTGATTTTGAGATGAGATGAAACTAAGCTATGTTCCACATGAACATGAAGGCCTTGGGGGTGCTATGGTTTGAATGTGTCCCCTCCAAAATTTAGATGTTGCCAATGTAATAGCATTAAGTGTTGGGGCCTTTAAAAGATGGTTAGGCCATGAGGGCTTCTTTCTCATATATGTAAGGGATTAAGGTCCATGTAAAAGAGGTTCTATGTAGCATTTGGTAACTTGCCCTTACTCTTTTTTTTTTTTTTTTTTGAGATGGAGTCTCACTCTGTCACTCAGGCTGGAGTGCAGTGGTTCCGTCTCAGCTTGCTGCAACTTCTGCCTCCCAGGTTTGGGGGATTCTCCTGCCTCAGCCTCCTGAGCAGGTGGGACTATAGGCACACACCACTATACCTGGCTGATTTTTGTATTTTTCGTAGAGATGGGCTTTCACCATGTTGTCCATGCTGGTCTCGAACTCCTGAACTTAAGTCATCTGCCCGTCTCAGCCTCCCAAAGTCCTGGGATTACAGGCTTGAGCCACCACGTCCGACCTCTGCCTTTACACCATTTACCCTGGGAGGACACTGCATTCCTCTCCTCTGGAGGTTACGGCCCTTACCAGACAACTGAACCTGCCTGTGCCTTGATCTTAGACTTCCCAGCCTGCATAACTATGAGAAAATAAACTTCTGTTCTTTGTAAATAACTAAGTCTCAGGTAGTTTGTTGGAGCAGCACAAAACGCACTAGGAGGGCACCCTGAGATATGTTTTAAAACAAAGACACAAGGAAATAGCTATAAAATCTTATTAGCAGGCTGTATCATCAGTTCCAACCTCCTGTAGTCTACAACAAACACCTCATGGGGATAGCGAGTGTTTTACTTCAGCTGTTGGTGTATCACTAAGTAGCCTCTAAGGAACGCTCTGTGACCATTTTGCTAAAGGTTCTCTGGATGAGTCAAAT